CTGGGTGTAGTGGCAGAAATCTGTAACCCTGGTACTTGGAAGGTAGAGAGTCTAGAAGATCAGAAGTTCAAGGAAAGCATTAAACTACGGATTGAGTTTGAGGTCAGCCTAAGTTACTTGGGATCCTGTTTCAAAAAAAGGATGATGTAGCTCAGTTGGTAGAGTAGCTGCCCAGTATTTGAAAGTCCTGGATTTGATCCCCAGCACTGTACAAAGCTCTATGATAGTGGAAACTGTAATTTCAACACTTGTTCAAGGCCAGCCTAGGCTACAGAACAACTTAGAGGCCAGCCCTAAAATAAAATCCTGTCTCAAAAAATAAAGAACACGATAGTTAATTTTCTTAAACTAATGTTCTTTGGAATAATTCTGTAAACAAAAATATATGATTGTTAGTTTATAGAATTGTTTCTCATCCTGTGGGGCCGCATATCAGATGCCCTGCATATCAGATATTTACATTATGATTCATAATTGTAGCAAAATTACAGTTATGAAGTATCGACAAAAATAGTGTTATGGTTGGGGGTCACCACATGAGGAAAGTTATTTCCAATTGGGGGAATGTATATAAGTCAGATTATAAATTCTGAAACTTGGTTTTTAGTGAGGCTTGTTATCAATGAAGAATTTCTTTCTTTTTTTTTTTTTTAATTTGGCTTTTTGAGACAGGGTTTCTCTGTGTATCCCTGGCTGTCATGGAATTCAACTCTGTAGATCTGACTGGCCTCGAACTCAGAGAACCACTTTCCTCTGTGCTGGATTAAAGGAGTGCACCACCACCAACCAGCTCAACGAAGTTTGTACAAAAGGAAAAATAAATATAAATGCATGACAATATTTAAATAATTCTTACTACTTTAAGATATTTTAAAATAATCTTTTCAACAACTAATATTACATTCCTTTGTAATTCATAATTTCATAGATATACTTACTATTTTAAAGAAATGTGTAACTTGCTTTGAATGTACCTACCATGTTTTTTATACTTCTTCAAAAAAGTTAGCTACTATTAATGAACTAAAATTAACTATATATTAATTTTATATCAATTTCTACCAAAACACCTTTTAAAAAGTAGTGGGCTGGGATTTATTTGACCTTTTAGTTCAACCACATAAATTCCTTAAGATGCCACTGAAAAAAAGTCATGTTGACTTTAACAGAATTGAAAAGAAATGTATGTTCTCCTAAATAGTCTTACAAGAACATAAGATATAGCTGAGCAGTAGTATCCCACAGCCTTTAATCCCAGCACTAGGGAGGCAGAGGCAGGCAGATCTCTGTGAATTCAAGGCCAGCCTGGTCTACAGAGTGAGTTCCAGGGCATCCAGGGCTGTTACACAGAGAAACCCTACCTGGCATATTTAAAATTGAGATGTAAAGTTTACATATACAATGATTTATAAATTGTGAAATATTCATTTGCTCATCTTTTTAGTAATTATTATGAACTTGGTTGAATTAAAATCAAGTCATCCCCATTCCCATCCCCATCCCCTTTCATCTCTCCCCACCCCCCATTGGGATTTTTGTTTGTTTGTTTGTTTGGGTTCTTTTGTTTTCAGTAGTACTGGGATTGAACCCAGGTCCTTGAGCCTGCTTTCTATAATTGAATAAGCAAATAAGTGATAAATTTAGAACAAGAGATCTGAATTAAATGAATAAATTTAAAGGTAGCAATAATTTATGAGTAACTCAAAGTAGAAACCATATAGCCACAAGTGATTGTGTGTGTGTGTGTGTGTGTGTGTGTGTGTGTGTGTGTGTGCATGCACTCATGTTTCCATGCATAGTTGTGTGTATATGTTCAAGTATGCATGTGTGTACCAGAGATTAACCTTGGGTTGTAGGTAGACTTTCCTTTCCCACCCACCTGTTCCCAAATAACTGACATGGAGACTTAATATAAATTATAAATGCTTGGCCAATAGCTCAGGCCCATTACTGATTAGCTCTTACAACTTATAGTGACTCATATTTCTTATCTAAGTTTTACCAAGTGGCTCATGATTTGTTACCTCATTTTGTACATGTCTTGCTTCCTCAGTGTCTGGCTGGTTACTACTGAGACTCCACCCTTCTTTCCAGTGTCCTCCTAGTCTGGTTCTCCCACCCAATCTCTTCCTGCCAAGCTATAGGCCAGTCAGGTCTTTATTAGCCAATGAAAATAACACATATTACAATGTACGAAGATTGTTCCACAGCACTGGGTGTTAATTAACTTTGGTTCTCCAGGAGTTGTCACCTTGTGTTTTTGAGACAGGTATTCACTGGTTCCTAATACTCAACCATTAGGCTAGTCTGGCTAGCTAATGAACACCAAGCTTCCTCCTCTCTCCTCCTACCCCAAGCTGGGTTTACACGTGCATGCTACCACCATGCCTGACTTTTTATGTGGGTGAATTCAGGATCTTGTCCTTAAATGGCAAGCACTTTTCTGACTGAGCTGTCTCCTCAACCCCCAGCCACCAGTGATTAATTTTTCTTTGATGTTTAGGTACCAAACTACTATCAGTTTTGTTTTTTTTTAATAATCTTTTATTCTTATAATAGCCATGTTTCAGACATACCCACATTGTTACTCATATGACAGTACTGTATACTATCTATGTATTCACTTCCTTTAGTTCATTTATTAGTTATTAACTATAGTATAAAATATTAAAAAGAAAATTCAATAAATATATAAAACCTTTAAATAACTCATCAAAGTAGTTTGTCACAATTGCTCTATTTTATTGTTGCTAATCTCTTACATGTATGTATTTATAGGAGAAAATCATATGTATATATGTAAGTAATTTTTAAATTGATTATTTTCTCTCTTTTCTTCTGTTTATCTACTACCATCAGAATTCTTATTCTAGACTACTAATCTGATCTTGTGATTTCCCTAAATAAAAGTATTGATTCCTTGCCACATACAGAATGAAATCCATATTACTGAATGTGTTTGGACTTTCAGTTCTCTTCTAAGAGTAGAATTGTACTCCACTTCCATTGGTGATTAATGCAACTTGTATAGACAATTACTTCCCTTTTTCTAGAATGTCTTTTCACTCTTGTTTTGTTACATTTTTCCCCTCTTAAACTGTTAGATTCCTCTTTTGTTCTTATTATAATTTTCTTCAGAATTTTGTTAGTACTCTTCCCCTTCTTGTATACTAGTAATTGTGATGTTTGCCTCACTGTTGAATATAAGGCCCTTTACAGTAGCAGTTGTGATAATGATGGTGTGATAGTAATGTCTCTGTCTTCAGACAGCATCTGAAGTAATAGTAGTACCATTTATTGACTACCTCTTGTCTGTGGGACACTTGGTAAGAATTTAACACACATTTCACAGAGTATATTAATAATAAGATATAATTAATTGGGGTCTTGCCAGAATCTTTCTGAATCTTGTTTTGTTTTGAGAATAGCATTTAGGAGACTGAAGCAGCCTCCCGCAAGTTCATGGTCAGTTGGATCTACATAGTAAATTCTAGAAGGAAAAGAGGATGGGAATAACTGGGTGGTATAGCTTTGTCCCATACTGTATTTAAAAGATCCATTCTTTCGCCATTTCTCAATATTGTTTGCATTCTAATAGGACAAGCCTTAGTGAAATGGATTTGTGATTTGGGGAATTTATACTCTTCAAATAAAAATATGTAGCTACCTACCCTAACTTGTACACACAGTTGTCAGTTTTGAACTTTTATTTCCATTTCTTGGCTAATAAAAAAAGGATGAAAATGCATATGTTTTTTAAAGCTTTATTGATACAATTAATTAATTGTAAAGTAATAATTATATATAAACTTTTTTGATTTTTAGTTTTTAGAACAATATTTATTTATGACCAAGACTGATTATTGTTATCCATAACTCTTATTCACTATTTAAACCTGAACTTCATATTAGGACCCCAAATATGGACTTTGGGGGTAGTCACTGGATCTTTTTGTCCACCCTGACTGGCCTGAAACTCACTGTGTAGATCAGGCTGGTCTTGAACTCACAGACATCACCTTATCTTTGCTTTTGAGACAGCTAGTATTGAAGTCCTGTCCTACCACACCTGGAAATAAATAAATAGATAGATAAATAAATAAATAAATAAATAAATAAATGTGTTTGTGTATGTATATGCATAACATATACATGTGTGTATACACACAAATATACATATATACACCTTAACACAATAAAAGTAAACATGTCCACCATCCTCCAAACTTTCTCATCTACTGGCTTTAAACAAACAGTAATCTCCTTATTTATAGATTGGCTTATGTATTCTAGAGTTTCATATAAGTGGATCTTATAGTATGTGTTTATTTTATATTAGCTTCTTCCACTCAACACACTTACTTGATAGTTGTATGTATCAGTATTTTATCCTGAGGGTGCATATTTTGAATTACATTTGTTATGGAAAGTAAATTATTTTATTGACATTATATGTTACATTTTTGAGGCGATTCAGATGTAACTGATGCGAAAATTTAGTTGAGCCTAAAGTCACTTCTGGAACTTGTTTTAGTACATTGTGTACAGATCCTTTGGTATTCCAGACTTGTGTATACAAGGATTTAAGTGCATTTTAATTCTTAATGAGTGTCTTATCATGTACTCAGAGTCTAATTTAAAATAAAGCAGTGAAGTACATTTTACTCCGTTTTGGAGTACTTCTGATATGATTTTCTTCACCTTTCTTGGGAAATGTTGGGAGAAAACCCTTCTAATTGGTCTCATGTGGTTATCTCAGAACTTAATACTGTCGTTAGCTATAGGTATTAATCAATAAAGCACTAATCAATTGTGTGCTAATACTACATAGGAGTTCAGTTTGTATGAGGGAAAAGGTATCTTCCTCATCTAGTCTTTGATGACTACATTTGAACTTTGCTTCGATGTATTGTTGTTTTTTTTTTTAAAAAAAACCCGTCATTAAAATCCATTATATTGCTATTCTAATCTCATTGCCCTGTCCCTTTTAAAATTTGCAGGTGGATATAATCCCTATGTAGAAATAATTGAACAGCCAAGACAGAGGGGAATGCGTTTTAGATACAAATGTGAAGGGCGATCAGCAGGCAGCATTCCTGGGGAGCACAGCACAGACAACAATCGAACATATCCGTCTATCCAGGTAACAGACCTTTCTCCAGTGTCTCATTTTTAGTGGCTCATATTTCACTATGGCAGGTCCATTAAAGGCTCAGATTATTTTTTGGTTTTGTTTTGTTTTGAGACAGGGTTTCTCTATGTGGTCCTGGCTGTCCTAGAACTCACTCTGTAGACTAGACCAGCCTCAAATTCAAGAGATTCACTTGCTGGGATTAAAGGGGTGCATCACCACTGCCTAATGGAAGGCTCAGTTTCTTAACAGTTACCTCCACAGTCTTTTGCCCCCACCCCCCTGTTTTTTTTTTTCTCTTTTAACTTACTTTGTATAACTAGATGTGTAGGGAGATCCTAAAAATGTGGAATCTTTCCTGCTATAGTTCATGTATTAATGTAATTGCAGTGATTCATGGTGCTTATTGTACACTGAGAGTCTTGGATCTGATTCCTTTTGTAAACAAAGCTAATAGTAAGGAAAAAGCATTCTCTATGTAGTGTAGGGGGAATTGTTTTATATGTTAAACATGGATTTGGAAACTCTAATTTTTTTCTGCAATCTTTTAGTCTCAGGGCTATTAATAAGAAAAACTTTCCCCCTCCCTTTTCCTTACCTTTATTGCATATCTCCAATTGTCATCTAAATTATCATTTTTTTCTCTGTGTTTAAGGTGTGTGTGTGTGTGTGTGTGTGTGTGTGTGTGTGTGTGAGGGGTATGTGTATGTGTCTAAGGTGTGTGTGTGTGAATGCAGGCACTCTTGTGCCTCAGTGCGCCTGTGGATGTCAGGACAGTGAGATTGAGGCCAAGACTGGTCTACAAAGTGAGTTCCAAGACAGCCAGTACTGTTACACAGAGAAACCCTATCTCAAAACAAAACAAAACAAAAAACCGAAAACAACAACAAAAACTAGTCTGGGGCAGCATTACCCACTGAAATCCCATCTAATTGGAGGCTGGGGTAGGAGGATTACTTGGGTCCAGAAACCAGTGTGAATAAATTATCCCAAAATGGAGTTTGAAAAGTGGTTCTTAATCTTTCATCATTAGATCTGAAATAACTGCTTTGTAACTAGCTTATTTATACTTTATTTTATTGAACCTAAGAAGAATCCAAAGTTAAAACTTAAGTCAATTACTAAGTTATACATTGATTTCCAAATTTCTCTTTTTGTTTTAACTTATATATAGATACTGAAATACATGTTAATGGGATGTCATGTAATGTTTGATACAGGTATACGTCATGTAATTCTTAAATCAGGTTAAACATACTTAACTCTCAAACATTTATCATTACTGTGGAAACATTCAAAGTCCTTCTAGAAGTTTGAGATATACAGTATATTTGTACATAGTCACCATATTGTATAATTGTGTGCCTAGAGCTTTTTGTCCATCTGCTGTGCAAATTGAATTTTTAAAAAAAGATTTTATTTTTATACATGTATGTGTATGTATCTGTGAAAATGCATATTTGGGGGTGGGAACCCACATAGGCAAGAAGAGGCTATTGGATTCCTTGAAGCTGAAGTTATAGGCAGTTGTGAACTGCCTGATATGGATGCTGGGATCTGAACACTGGTCCTGTGGAAGATCATGAAGAGCTCTTCATTGCTGAACTATCACTCCAGTCCCATAACTTCATGCTTTTAAGTCACATTTTTTTCAACAGTATGGATTAGGATTTTCTAAGCTCTTTTAAGTATTCAAATGGAAAAGATGCATTGAAAAGTTAATTTAAAAATTCTATTTTTCCAATCTTATGAGTCATTTTAGCTCCTCCTTAAAAAAATTGTTCCTAAATTTATTTATAAATTCATGCAAACATTCTAGGCCAATGTGCCTTGATCCTCATTCCCTTGCTCCCCTTCATTCTAGTTAATCTGGAAGTAGTGCAGACATTTCCAAGCTCTTTTTTGTTGTTGGCATGATGTACAACCAGAATCGCAATCAGTCCCGCCCCGCAGACTGTTCTTCAGATATATACATCTACATATATATATATATATGTGTGTGTGTGTGTGTGTACATATACATATATCTATATATATGTATATGTAGATGTATATATATGTTTGGGTTTTTTTGTCTTGTTTTTTTCAAGACAGGGTTCCTCTGTGGATTTGGAGGCTGTGCTGGAACTCCCTCTAGGCTGGCCTCGAACTCACAGAGATTCGCCTGCCTCTGCCTCCCGAGTGCTGGGATTAAAGGCATGAACCACCAACACCTGGCTATATATTGGTTTTTGAGACAGGGTTTCTCTGTGGCTTTGGAGGCTGTCCTGGAACTAGCTCTTGTCGACCGCCCGGCTTTTCAGATAATTTTGATGAGATATTTCAAATATCTTTTGGAAGAAGGTATCTTGGAGGAGACAGTGATCTTGCTGTTGCTCCCTTTGAAGGTCACAACACTCCACCAAGATTCTCAGCTTTTCCTCTTACCTTCTATCTCTCCGAGGAACTGCTGGAAACTAGTAGCATCCACAATTCTGTTTTCTATAGGGGGTGTGCAGTCAAGTATGAATTTCAAAATCTGCTTTTTCACCACAAGGTTTTTTCCATTGGCTATGTGTCCTCAGAGGACTGTTTTTGTTGTTGTTGTTTGTTTTTAATTTTTGAACATTTTTAGACACTCTCCCCTGCTGGAAACTAGTAGCATCCACAATTCTGTTTTCTATAGGGGGTGTGCAGTCAAGTATGAATTTCAAAATCTGCTTTTTTACCACAAGGTTTTTTTCCATTGGCTATGTGTCCTCAGAGGACTGTTTTTGTTGTTGTTGTTTGTTTTTAATTTTTGAACATTTTTAGACACTCTCCCCATCCTCCGTGTGTGTGTGTGTGTGTGTGTGTGTGTGTATGTGTGTACAAGTAGAGAGTTGCAGGGCAGTTCTCTCTGGGTACTATGTGATATCCAGAGATTGCACGATTGCACTTCTTGGTGGCGGTACCATCGCAGCAGCCCCTAATTCTTCTTAAATCATATTAATTTATACATCAAAATTATATGTATGATTTGTATCTTTTCTACTCCAACCCGTCCTAGACACTACAGATTAAATTCTTTCTCTATCAGCCTATTTTGTAGTTTTTACCTCTCTTTCATCTAGAAAGGCAGTAAATATTTCTTGATTACTATTCATTTTAAAAAAGAGGAAAGTAGCAGTGGGTGGATATAGTATACATTGTATAAATAAACATATAAAACTTTCAAAGAATAAAATATAAAACATCCAGGCGCAGTGGTACATGTCTTTAATCTCAGAATTTAGGAGGCAGAGGTAGGTGGGTCATATTTGTTTGCTATTATTTCCAGTGTGGCTTAAATAAGTTTTTTTCAAGGCATACTTATGGTATGACAGTGTAAGAGAAAAGCACTGAAAAACCTAACCTCTAAGTATTTCCTTGTGCTCTGTGGTTAAAATAAAATGTATCAGTTTTCCAAGCAGTGTTAGCACATACATTTAATCCCAGAACTCAGGAGGCAGAGGCAGGTAGGTAGATCTCAGAGTTTGAGAAACCTTGTTTGAAAAAAATAAATAAAAAAGGTATCAACTTAACTTTATTTATTTAGGATTTTTGAGACAGGATCTCATATAGTTCAAGTGGACCTCAAACTCACCATGCAGCTGAGGAGGACCCTGAACTTCTGAAAATTCCTGATTCTATTCTTGAGTATGGTTAATGTGGTACTGGGACCAGGGTCTTATACATACTAGGCAAGCATTCTGCCCACTGAGCTACATCCTCAACCAGTTTTGTGTTTGGTTTTTTGAGACAGGGTTTCTTTGTGTAGCCCTGGCTGTCCTGGAACTTGCTCTGTAGACCAGGCTGGCCTCAAACTCACAAAAGATCCATCTGCCTCTGCCTCCTGAGTTCTGGGATTAAAGGTGTGTGTCACAATGCCAGTGTGCTTACTTGTTTCAAAAGGAAAATAAATAACCAGATGATAAAGTTAGATGAAATTAGGGGAAAAAAAGAAACATTTGAGGAATTGAGAGATACGTTTTTTCCTGCTGGTATTCTCTGGAAACTTTAATCTCAAGTAAGTGGTTGAATATTTGAATTTAGTCAATGCTGACTTCATTATAAAAACTGAACTTGAATTTAGTAGATAAGTTCTTTATATTTGTTTGCTTTTAAAACAGGGTATTATTGTATGTAGCCTTAGTTGGCATTAAATTTGTGCCAGTCCTGCTTCAGCCTTCCAAATGCTGGGACTACAGGTATATGCCACAGTACCCATCTAGTAGATCTGTTCTTAACAAGATGTATTTATGGATTGTACAATTAATTTCCCCTTTCAGGTTATGAACTATTATGGGAAAGGAAAAGTGAGAATTACATTAGTAACAAAAAATGACCCATATAAGCCTCATCCTCATGACTTAGTTGGAAAAGACTGCAGAGATGGCTACTATGAAGCAGAATTTGGACCAGAACGCAGACCTCTGTTGTAAGTATACAGTCACAGAAATCTTTGGCAACAGGACAAGGATATAATTTTAGTTTTTAGCAAAATTATTTTCATATTTAATAATTTACTATGTATACATTTAAATTTTTAATTTTTTTCATCTGTCAGGGACATGCATGTGCTTTGGGGTGTATGTGGAGGTCTGAGTTGGTTCTTTCCTCCACCATGTGGACTCTCAGAGTTGAACTTGGGTCACTAGGTGTGATTGTAAGGATTCAGGCATTATGCTGACCTGCCCCTGTCACCTGGCAGAATGCACTCGGGCAGTACTCTGGTCAGCCCAGGGTCCCATAGTTGTGTAGTCTGCACCAAGGTGCAAAGGACCCCTTGAAAAGAAAGACCCCTGCCAACTTATGCTTTCTTTCTGGCTCCTCTCTTTCCCTCTCTCCCATTCTTTCTCTCTGTTCCCTTGGGGCAGACAGGACTTTCCCTATCTCCCTCTCCTCTTCTGTCCTCTCTGTCTCTGTGTCTCTTTACCTCTTTTATCTTTCCTCCCCTCTCCCTCCCCTTTCTAATAACATTTCTCACCAAGCTCTGACTGCCTGGCATGTTTGTCCCTCCACCTCGGTCACCCTCACCTGCCGTGGAATCCTCCAAGGTCCCCCCAGGCAAGGTCCTCCTGGAGCTTTATCATAACAGTGATGGCAGATGCCTTTACCCGCTGAGCCATCTCAGCAACCTGATATTTACCTTTTTGTTTTTTAAACATTGGCATTAGAGCTGTTCTTTCATTTTTATGAACAGCACCACATATGATAGGTGGCAGAAGTACTTCCTTGAGAATTGGAAATTTAGACAGCTCATGTAGCCTAAGCTGGATTCAAACTTGCTATGTAGAATGAGTTTGAATTTATCTTCCTGCCTCCATCTCCCAAATCCTGAGATGGTAACACTACCATGTCTGGTTCAGCAGTACATGTTTTTTTTTTTTAATTATGCTCTTATTTTTTCTTAAGACAGGGTTTATATAGGCAGGTGGCCTTCCAGAGGATCCAGCTAATGACAGCAGAGGTGTGAAGTTATGTTCATAAGGCACTACCTTAGTTTATGCAGACAGAACTCAAGACAGATTGCTGCCATGTTAGGCCAGCAATCTGACAACTGAGCTACAGGTCTACCACTTCTTATCTTCTAAGTTTGGGCTGTTTTTAGACAGAATTTCACTGTGTTGCTCAGCCTAGCTTCCAATGTGTAGTGTCCTCCTGACTCAGCCTCCAAAGTGCTAGGATTATAAGTAAACATGCATTGCCTTATGAGGATAGATGTACTTCTCTATAATTATTGAAAGTAAATAAAACATATTTTATGTTGTGATTTATCTCTTCATCTGTGAAAAAAACTTGAGGCCATCTTGGAGTACACAGCAAGATATTGTCTCAAAAAAGTTCCTCTTATTAATAGTAATAACACAAAACACAAAAGCACTACTAATGCACATTTGACAAGAAGAACTACTGCCCACATTTTTTGAACTTCCACCAGTGTTTTAAACTTTCAACCACTTGTGTATTGAAATGCTCTTCTTGATTTCTGTGAAGACAAACTTGTTTTAATTCATAGTTTTCTGGCTGTTTTTCCAGATGGCCCCTGTGTTTTCATCTCTGTCACTCTAGTGCCTCTAATCTGTTTGTTTGTTTGTTTGTTTGTTTTTGTTTTTTTTTTTGGTATTTCAAGACAGGGTTTCTCTGTGTAGTCCTGGCTGCCCTTGAACTCAGAGATCCACCTGCTTCTGCCTCTTGAGTGCTGGGACTAACGGGCATGTATCTCTAACCTTACTGTTGCAGTCAGAAGAGTATTCTTTAGTTTGCTCTGCTCACAATGCTTTTTCATAGGGCCATTTCATGTTCTGTTCCTTTTATCTTCCTAATCCAGTTCATATTATCACTTCCCACAGGAAGTCTGCCTGCCCACCTTGAATTGATCCCATTATATTCTCCTTCCTATAAAGTATATTTACCTTCATAAAAGTTGTTATGATTCAGTTGAGTGTTTTTGCCTGTGATTATCTGGTAGTTCACCAGACTTGAGCTAGCAAGTTTTCCTGTAAATGGCTAGTAGTATCACAGGCTTTACAAGCCTTTTGGATTCTGTGTCCTACTCAACACTGCTGTTGCTGCAGGAAAGTGGCCACAAATGATACATGAGTGTATGGACATGTTTGTGTTTTAATACAAACTTTATTTGCAAGAAGAGCAATATGCTGAATTTGGCCCATGAATTAGAGTTTGCCAATTCCCCATTCCAGACACTGAGGTTCCATGAAGGGAGAAATTGTACATCTCCATTCCTTTCTAGAATTTTAATGCACAGCTGGAATTCCAAAGTGTATTGAATGACTGCGAAGGAATAAATGGGAGGATGAACCAAATACCCTAATGATTCTTGGTTTCCTTAAGTCAGATTTATTTTACTCATTCCCTTCTTTTCTCTTTCTTCTAGTTTTGGGTGTCATGAATGCTGAACAAGTACTATATTATTGAGTTAATAATGTCCTAGCTCTTGGAATTTTGAAGCTCCCCATTACTTTTAATATCCTATGCATAGCAGATAGGACTATTCAGATAAAACAAAGCTAAGTAGTGTATATTAGGTTGAAGAAGTATTTAAAACATTTTATTAGAAAAAAACTAAAAATTACTAAGAATCTTTCAAAGAAAGAATTATTTTGTTAAAGGATTTCAAGAAAGGATTAAGAATTCATAACTTATTTATTTTGTTATTGGAGGTGGAGGAAGGAAATGGCAAAGTTATTTTAGGTGCTAATAAAGTCACAGGTGTGAGTGTCAAGCATGAAGCATGAACATTAAGGCAGCATGAATGTGGAGTAAGGTGACCCAGGCAGCCTCTGGCTGCAAGTGCCAAATGAAATGTGAAGAAATAGTGATGTTCTTATCATTGAGTTTTGCTTCCTTATTCACACCCACCCATCTCGAATGATGTCATGGTTTTTCCATGTGGGAACAAGTATGACTGGGTGGTGGTAGGGGAGTTCCCCCCACCATCATCTTTATTACACATATGCAAATGAATAATATTTGTAGTTATTGAGAAGTTTTCCATAAATGACCTTTTGAAACTGTTGCTAAATATTGTTAGTATTAAACCTTTCTAATAAAAAACCTTTCACTCCTTTTATTGTAATCCTATAACATGGCATACAGTGCATTTTATAATCTTTGAAAAAACTCGAGACCAGCCTAGAGTACATAGCAAGACACTGTACAGATGCTCACTGTGATTTGATGTATTTGACGATAACACTTTTCAGTGATGAGCTAGGGAGGCAGCATAAACGAATAGAGGAATCAAGTATAAGTGGAGAAACTGTACATAAATGGGGCCACAGTTGTCTCTGTGCCCATGTTCATGAAGCCAGGAATACTGATGTTTGTCTCTTATTACTTGAGTTTTAAGTTCCATAAGTTCCATAAGATTTTTAAGTGCAGTGACCACTCCTATGCAATCCTTTAAAAATATAAGTTAACACTGCTATAGGAGCCAGACATTGTCTTTGTACTTCTTGATACACAAATTTTAGTGAGTTGATCATGAATTTGTTTGGAAGGTGAAATTTTGCTTTTTGGTGTTTTTTAAAAAATGTTTATCTACTTGGTATATTTGACTAAGCATATCGGTAATATATAGTTATAAAATAGTATATTTAAAAGTGATATAGTACTATATATACTTTTTTTGGTTTGGTATTTTAAGATAGGATTTCCCATAGTCTAGACTAGCCTCAAACTTGCTAGGTAACTGAGGATGGTCCACTTGCCTCCATCTCCCTAGTGCTGGGATTAAAGGCATGTGCCACCATGTGCTCTATTTTTCTATTGATAATTCTTTCAGATAGTCCTACTTTTTGTTACTTTTGTATCTTTATTATCACAATTAGAGTAGGATTCATGATCTAGTAGCTGGATTTGACAAGAAGGTGACTTCCCAGTGTTGAATATGTTTGATTTCTGTCATATTTTTATTTTATTGTGATATGATTTTGAAAGTTTCATTTTTTGCTTTTAGTTTTCAAAATTTGGGTATTCGGTGTGTAAAGAAAAAAGAAGTGAAAGAAGCTATTATTTTAAGAATAAGTGCAGGAATCAATCCTTTCAATGGTAAGTTTTTTGTTATAATTTCTCCTATAATTTGGATATCAATGGACTGTGATTTCTATTTATAATTCTACTTGTTGACTTATATGTGTACCTGAGGAATCAAGTGTATTTAAGTAGACAGTGTCTTTGTTTTCTTTGAGGAACTCCCCTTCTCCTTTCTAATGGTTTATTTTGACATAAAGTCTTCCTTTGTAGCTCTGACTGGTCTGTTACTACATACTGCAGACCAACCTTGAACTCCCAGCAATCTTCCTTCATCCTCCCAAGTGCTCGGATTGTAGGTGGGAGCTACCATGTCTGGCTAAAGCAAAGAAATGAAAAACTAAAACCTTATCCAGGTGTTTTGATTATTTTTGAATATGTTTTTTCCTTAAGCTACTTGTCCAACAAACAGTATTCACTTTTCTGAGTGCTGAATATGCACCATGTTATAACATACTTTCCTCTCTCACCCCCACAATTGTTTTTTTAATAGAAATCTCACACAGCCCAGATGACTCAAATTGATGTTTTACTGAGGCTAGACTTGTCCCTGCCTCTGCCTCCCAAGTTCTGCCATTACAGGCATGCAACACCATGCCTGGACACTCAAAATATTTTTTGACTTTAGTTTTTTATGTATGAATGTTTTGCCTGCTTGTGTGTATATGTACCACATGTGTACCTGGTACCCTTGACGGTACCAGAAGAGGACATCAGATCCCCTGGAACTTGAGTTACAGATGGTTATGAGTCACCATATGGGTTCTGGGAATCAAATCCAGGTCCTGTACAAGAGCAACAAGTGCTCTTAAGCAAAATAGGTCTTACTGTTTAGCATATTTTATTGGTAATAGCACTTACCAACCATTTTATCTTTAATTTATTGTTTTGGGGAACAGGGTCTTACCATATAACATAGGCTGACTTCAGATGTCATATCCTCTTCTCTCAAGTCACTCTCCTGCTGGAATTATAGGCACATACCACCATGCCCAGTTTAATAAGCATTTGGTTTTTGTTGTTGCTGTTGTTTTTAAGCCAGGGTCTAATGTGTTCTGGACTGGTCTCAAACTCACTATATAGCCAAGAATGGCTTGAATTTTCTGATCCTCCTGCCTCCACCTTCCAGTACTGGGATTACCATCACACTTGGTTATGCATTGCTAGGGATTGAACTGAAAGTTTCTTTATGTGCTAAACAAGCACTCTACCAAGAGAGCTGCTTCCCTGGCCCCTAAGCATTTCTTCTTTATGACACTATTTGGGTATGGCATCTGGTACCTTTTAGCATTCTATATTGCTAAATAGATAAAAGATTGCTGAAGTGAATGCAGTTATTCTTACTTTAAAAAGTCTTTATTCTAAAGTTCTGTGTAGCTACTTAAATAGTTTTGTTGGTCTAGGCATGGTAGAACACACATGTAATTCAAGCTACTTGAGATTGCATCCTCAAACTCACTATGTAGCCAAGGATAACCTTGTATTCTATCTGTGCCATTAGTCACTCAGTAATTGAGGAAATGTAATAAATGCCCATTATATGTAAACTTCTATCTTCAATGTTAAGTGAAAATACAAAGATGAAACAGACACACCCATTCTGAGCTCATAGAACTTTACCTAATAGGATGGAAGTGGTACATGTTAATGGTGATTATGTAAGATAAAAACCTAAGTACAGATCTGGTGCTGCACTGACTTGGAGAGAAGGGATTTTTCTTCCGGTCTAGATTGAGGCTTAGACTTTGTAGAAAATGGGTTCAGGGCTGGGAATGAGACTCTGTAAGTAAGTACTCACTGCATAAGCATGAAGACCCGAGTTTAATCCCCAGCACCCATTTGAAAGAAGCTAGGTATTCCCACACTGGGGAGGTGGCCACAGGGGGATTTCTGGGCCTGGAGGTTCAGTGAAGGACCCTGTCTCAAAACATAAGGTGAAGACAAATAAGTAAGGCACCTGGTATTGATCTCTGTCCTCCATATATGCTTTTTTACACATACCTGTGTACACACATAAAGTAGTTTTCAGCCTATACTCTGTATCCAGACATCACCTATGATTCCTGGTTGTCAGTAGTTTTTAATCATGTTGTGCCATATTAGTATTATGTAACTGTTCTGCATTCTAAAAATAACTTTTTTCTTAAACGTGGGTATGAGGTTAGAAGACAGCCTCAGATGTCATTCCTCAGGCATTGTCTTCTCTGAAGCAGAGTTCTCACTGCTTAGAGCTTGACATGTCTGCTGGGTTCACTGTCTCTGCCTTCCAAGCACTGGTATTATAAGCCTCATTACTGCATCTAGCTTTTTGACATGGGTTTAGGGGTTGAACTCAGGACCTTGTGCTTGCAAAGCAAGCTCTTTACCAACAGCCAAACTTTGACCTTTTTCTAGTTAAACAGGCTTGCTTTTATAGACTCAAATGTTAGGTTTTGAATGCTGATATGGAATAAATTTCAATGTCAGGATAACTCCTGAGACTGATTGACTGCCATCGTGTAAAATATTTTTTTTTATTGGTTGTTCTCTGTAAGACTGGGCAGTTTGGTTGTTTTTCACATTTAGTATTTTAATACCAATCTACTTCCCAAGTAAAATTTTCATGTAACTTAACAAATTTCATACTTTTTAAAATATGGCATATATTAGTAACAATTTATTGCTATAGGTCTAAAATATTTCAAAGGCAGCAGTATTTTGTTTTAGAAATGGGTTTCTTTTCAAAATCAATGTAAATAGAGTCTTTTTTTACTGTAGTCTATGACAAATTTTTATATTTTTCAGAACTATAAAAATGCCCACTGTACAGTTTGTTTGTTTGTTTGTTTTTAAGCAAACTTGACTTACACCTAACTCTTAAATAAGCTTACACCATCTGGTGTCTGCCTCACATTTCACCTCTAAAGTGTTGGTGCACAGTTAGTCTGGCCTCTGCCACAAATGTCCTTTCTACCATTTAGCTGTGAAACTTTGGACAAATAATTTCCTCTCTTTAAAATCAATGTCCTACCTGTAAAACCAGGGATGACAGCGATTCTTGCTAGATTTAGAAGGTAATTACAGACTGGGCCAAATATTATATTAAATGAAGAATGCCTGTTTCCTGTTGTCTATAATTTGTATCCAGAATTAAGATTTTTCATTTGTGGCTGTTTGTGAATCTGCCATTTAGTTCCAGGTTCCCGGTACAGTTCCTCCCTGAATATGACTGTAATGTATCATATATTTTTAGATATTGACTATGTGATATGAAAGCTATTCTTGAGAGTGTGTACCATTCTAGTTTTGTGCAGAGTCTGTGCTGCTTGAGGTTATTGGGCATTGTGGGCAGAGAGAAAGCCAGCAGGATTTTGTATCATATAACTGTTCTATGTTTTAAAATCATGTTGTGCTGTTCAGTCCCTGAACAGCAGCTGCTGGACATTGAAGACTGCGACCTAAATGTGGTGAGGCTGTGTTTTCAAGTTTTCCTTCCTGATGAACATGGCAACTTGACAACTGCTCTTCCTCCCGTTGTTTCTAACCCAATTTATGACAACCGTAAGTGCTTTAATTTTCTTATGTCTGTACTCTTAGCTTGTTGTATTTCCTTAATTGTTAAAAATTTTTTAAGTATTTTCTTAATTATAAAAGGAGTATGTTAAGTAAGTATGGTGGCTCGTTATGTAATTGTAGCAGTCAGAAGGCTGAGGCAGGAGGATAAAGTTTGGAGTCATTATAGGTTACAGAGTGAGACCTTGTCTCAAGAAACCAAAAGAGGCCAGGTGTGGTGGTGCACACCTTTAATCCCAGCACTTAGGAAGTAGAGACTGGCAGATCTGTGTGAGTTTGAGGCCAGCCTGGTCCACACAGTTCCAGGGCTACATAGAGAAGCAGTATTCATTACAAGAAAAATTCAGACATATATACATACATAAATAAGAACAGCAAATTGCTGTTGTTCCCCTCCAAAAATGGTCACTGTCTCCTCTAGGACACATTGCAATTCCTTTGCACAAACACAGACAGTACCTACCATCTTTCTCATCACCACCATTTGCTAATTTTGGCAAGTTAAAAAAGTGGATCAATGATCTTTTTAAAAACTTTTTTCAAGTCAGTAGTAGTAGTGCATGCCTATAATTATAGCACTTGAGAAATAGAGGCAGGAGGCTCAGGAGTTCAAAGTTATCCTGTGTTTAAGAATAGTGAGTTCAAGACCATTCTGGGTTATGTGAGACACTGTGTGAAGACCAAAAAAAAAAAAAAAAAAAAAAAAAAAAAAATTTTTTTCAATGTACTTGAACCTTTTTCAGTCACATTTTTCCTTTTCCTTTTTTTCTTTTGAAACAGTGCTGGCAATTGAATGCATGACAGTAGACATATTGGGCAAGTGCTTTTCCACTGGGCTATACTCCAAGCCCCACTTATGTTCTCAATAGCTGCATATTCTCTTTTTACTTTTTGTTTTGTTTTTCAAGACAGAGTTTCTCTATGCAACAGCTCAGGCTGTCCTGGAACCAACTTTGTAGACCAGGCTGGATTCAAACTCACAGAGATTGCCTACCTCTGCCCCATAAGTGCTGGAATTAAAGGTGTGTGCCACCTTTCCCGGAACGTATTTTTTTATGTGACTATATATTAATTTTAAGAAATCATTACCTAGTTAAAGGGTATTGGGTTCATTTCCTTCTTGTTTTCTTTTTGTAAACAAATTATACTGAAACGAATATATTTGTGTGTGTGTTTTAAAGACATCTGTCTATCTATATGTGTGTGTATTCATGTGTATGTGGAGGTCAGAAGACAAACTTCCCTGGGATCAAACTCAAGATGTCAGGCTCCGCAGCAGGCTCCTTTATCCACTTAAGTATCTCACTGGTTCCTGAATGTTCATATTGTATGCAAATATTTCTGGCATTTATTTTCAGACGCATAAATTTTGAAAACAGTATATCAGAGGATATAGAAATTTACTTGAAAAGATTGTGAAACTGTCCTCCAGAATGTTTTGGCACATACACTCACCAGGTGTGTGCTACACCTGTTTTGCATATAGAATGCTGATTCATAGGAATATAGAGGTAGAGTATTCTTATCAGAGAGCCGTGGGTGCCTTGGAGGACTATCATAATAATATTGGGCAGATAAATGAAAATTGCATTGCCCTAGGGCTATAGATAATAATATAAAAAGACCAGTCAGTGTCCCCTTACAAGATTTGGGAGGCAGAGACAGGAGAATTGCTCATATTCAAAGGCCAGATAGCCTGGTGTACATAGCTGCAAAAAATAAAGAGACTATCTCAAAAGTGGTGGAAATTGAGGACTAGCAAGTACCTAAGATTGCCCTCTGACCTTCACACACATGTGGTATGTACTTACCTATGCTCACACACACCTACACTCAGACATTCCTCAACAATACACATGAAAATATTTCTTTTATTTGTACATTAAAATTTTTCATCTCTTCTCTAAATTATTTTCTTCAAATTCTTCTCCTTACAACATAATAAAATATAATACTTGTACTGGCTAGTTTTATGTCAACCTGACACAAGCTAGAGTTTCTCTTGACACAGGTAGAGCCTCAATGAGAAATTGTCTCCATAAGATCTGGCTGTAGACAGGCCTGTAGGGCATTTTCTTAATTAGTGATTCATAGGGGAGGGCCCAGCCCATTGTGGGTAAGCCAACCCTGGGCTGGCAGTTCTGGGTTCTATAAGAAAGCAGGCTGAGCAAGCCACCAGGAACACACCAGTAGTCAGCACTCCTCCATGGCCTCTGCATCAGATCCTGCCTCTAGGTCCCTGCCCTGTGAGTTCCTGTCCTCACTGCTTTTGATGATGAACTGTTACATGGAACTGTGAGTGAAATAAACCCTTTCCTCCCCAAGTTGCTTTTGGACATGGTGTTTCATTGCAGCAATAGTAACAACAATTAAGACAATACTGAGACCCATTTTTAAAAAAAATCCTTTATATTTAGGTGCCCCAAATACTGCAGAATTAAGGATTTGTCGTGTAAACAAGAACTGTGGAAGTGTCAGGGGAGGAGATGAAATATTTCTACTTTGTGACAAAGTTCAGAAAGGTATTTATCAGTTTTGTTTCATTGAATCAGTAATATATTTTTGATTAATATATGTATTTTACCTTGTTTCCCCATTGTTATTATTCTTTGGCATCTTATTCACTAGATGATATAGAGGTTCGTTTTGTGTTGAATGACTGGGAAGCTAAAGGTATTTTTTCACAAGCTGATGTACACCGCCAAGTAGCTATTGTTTTCAAGACTCCTCCGTATTGCAAAGCTATATTGGAGCCTGTGACAGTGAAAATGCAGCTGCGGAGACCTTCTGACCAGGAAGTCAGTGAATCTATGGACTTCAGATACCTGCCAGATGAAAAAGGTATGACACATTGGTAATAATGTATATATAAACTGTGTGTGTGTGTGTGTGTGTGTGTGTGTGTGTGTGTGTGTGTGTGTGTTTGAATTGGAAACAAAGTTTTATGTATCCCATGCTGTCTCTGAATTCCCTGCATAGCTAAGGATGAATGGTCCTCCTGCCTCCACCTCCTGACTTTTGGGAGGACAAACGTGTGCTGCTGTGTCCCCAACCCATCATTTTAAATGGGGTACTAGGGATTTGACTCGGGTTTTATACATACTAGCAAGTGCTGAACCAACCAAGCTACATTCTCAGCTCAAGGGTAGATCATTTTCTTAAGCTGATCATCCTAGTAACATTGTAAAATAAACATCTGAATGCAGTTTTATATATTCATATTTTCCTTTCCTAGACATTCTCAGTTGTGTGTCATTGTCTTTGATTTTTTTCATGTTCTTTGCATTTCTTAGGAGGTTTGAATAATTTGAGAGTTCTTGAACTGTTGAATCATATTTTCTCTTAGTACATGTATTTTTGGATTTACTTTTTGTATTTATTGTGTGCCCTTTTATAGGTAGAAAGTTTGTTAATCAGAAAGTGGTATCTGTTTTGGTCTATATATTTTCAGACCTTATTTTATTAGTTCATGTTGACTTATAGGTATTTTTAGGGTGAAAAATTACTATTTTAAGCTCCTTTTTTATTAAAAAGAAAAATGTCCTTATAGCTGGTATAGGATATATTGTACAATAATTTACAGGTCTATGTTATTCACATATATTTACATATATTTAATTATATTAATATAATTTATAATATAATTTAATATAATAATATATATTAAATATATTCACATATATTTAAGGCATTTCCATATGCTGATAATGCATCTACTCATGGTGGAGGGGGCAGATGATTTACGGTTTTCCTGCTTTCTTTTTTAATCAGATGCATATGGCAATAAATCAAAGAGACAAAAAACAACTCTACTTTTTCAGAAACTGCTGCAAGATTGTGGTAAGAATACTTTGGATTGATTTATTTTACTTGCTTCATTCTGTTTTTCAGTTTTTAAATTATAAACTACTTTTTCAAATTACAATTAATAATAGAAAAACTTTATCATAGCAGCTAACTTTCCTGAGAAACCAAGAACTGCTCCCCTGGGGTCAATTGGAGAAGGAAGATTCATCAAAAAAGGTATTTTATCCCTATTAAATACTGTTATTCCACTTTGTAGGAATAAGTGCTTTTTAAATATTTTTATTTCCTACAAATTTTCTCATGCTTTCAATATTGAATTGAGCTGGTCTCCGTGCCTCTGAATATTGGGTTGGAAACTAATTATATTTATTGTTCAAGAAATTACATTTGTTCATACACTAGTCTCTGAGTTAGGGCTTCTATTGCTGTGAAGAGACACCATGGTAACAGCAACTCTAATAAAGGAAAACCTTTCATTGGGGCTGGCTTACAGTTTCAGAAGTCTAGTCCATTATCTTCATTTTGTGTGCAGGGAGACATAGTGCTGGAGAAAGAGCTACATCTTGATCCACAGGCAGCAGAAGCAACTGGGTGTCACACTGGGTGTAGCTTGAGCATATTAGACTTCACAGCCCACTCCCACAGTGACACACTTCTCCAACAAGGCCATACCCACTCCAACAAAGCCACACCTCTTAATACCTCTCACTATGAGCCAAGTATTCAAAATGTATGAGTCTATGGGGCCATACCTATTCAAACCACCACAACTAGTAATTTTACTAATTGCACTGTATCATGGAAGAAATGATGTGGATATAGTAGGCACTTGTTTATAATAAGTTTCACTTGAACATAACTGCATTCCTTTGTTACATAATGTCTCTTGTTGCCTTTTTAATAGTGCTGCAGTAGGACTTCATGCATGCTGACCATGACACAGTCCATGCCAGACCTAGACTCCCTTTTTTTTTTTCTTCTACTGCAACAACAGAGCTGAATAATTCCAGTGGAGGCTGCTCACCCCACGAATCTTAAAACTATCTGGCCTTTGAAAGAAGATATTTTATGAGCCCCTGACAAATTTTCCATCTCCTTTCCTTAAATTTATCCTGGTTATCCTGGTTTAACCTGGTTTATCCTGGTTCACATAGTACTTGTGTAATATGTCAATAAATAAGTTTTTATGATAGGGAATTTTATAGTAGTTTAGGGTCATATCTTAGTCTTAGTAACTGTATTTTTCAGTTTTTCCTAATGAATGTCTTCTCCATCTCTCCATTTTCTCCTGAAAGTAGAGACTATAACATGATGTAGGCCGTTGGATACCTATTTCCTGAAATTCCAATATTTATCTTCTATGTTTTAAAATGCACCTATATGACTCAAGAAGCTGTATTTTCATATTTAACTAGAAGAAAATTACATATACCAAGATAACTTTTAAAAATCATTTTCATGTGTTTATAAAGCAATTTACATGTTATGAATTTAGTTTTGATTTCATGTAATAATTTCTGTGCTTTAATTTTTTTTATTTGAAATTTATCAGTTCCCTGGAAATTTTTTAGTGTGTTTTTATAATCTCAATTCAGAAATAATGCTTTACATTTATTTGTTCATCTTAATTTATAAAATACATTTTTCTTCTATAGAATCAAACTTGTTTTCTCATGGTACACCTATGCCAGAAATGCCCAGGCCTTCAGGAGTTTCAAGTCAAACTGAACCCTACTATTCTTCATCTGTGCCCATCTCAAGTGGATTGCCACATCACCCACCAGCCATAGCCTCAGTGGTCTCTCCACCTTCAAGCTGGTCATCAGTGAGCCACCCCACCTCACGCTCAGCCAATACAAACACATTGAGTAGTTTCTCAACAGGAACACTTCCCTCTAATTCACAAAGTATCCTTCCGTTCCTAGAAGGGTCTAGTGTGAGTGATTTAAGTGCTTCTAATGCTTGCCTTTATACTGATGACCTAGCTAGAATGGAAGCGTTATCCATGTCACCAGCTGACTTATATGGTATTTCTGATGTCAACATGCTATCTAATCGCCCTGTGAATGTGATGACAACCAGCAATGATAACATGGGGGACACTGATAATCCAAGACTTATGAGCATCAATCTTGAAAATGCCTCATGTAATTCAAGGTTAGACCAAAGAGACCTGAGACAACTACATCAGATGTCTTCTGCCAATATGTCAGCAGGCACCAGTTCTAATTCTGTTTTTGTTGCACAGTCAGATGCATTTGATAGATCAAACTTCAATTGTGTAGAAAACGGCCTGATAAATGAGCCTGGACCATCAAATGATGCAAATAGTCATAATTTTGTTCCGAGCAGTCAATATTCAAGTATTGACACTCTGCAAAGTGAGCAATTGAGTGATTCCTTTGCATATGGTTTTCTTTAAATGTAACCTGTAGGATTTAAATCTAAAAAAAAACTATTAAAACTTTAGGTGTATAGAATATAAAGGGAACATTCAAAATTAGAAACTTAAAGAGCTGTACTGTTTTTTACTTTGAGAGATGCCTAAAGTACATGTGCTTGGTGTGAACTGTTCTTTCAAGTTTCCTCAAGACAAGCTGTGTGTCTTTTGTAATGTATTAATGTACTAGTTAAATGAATTGATATTTGCTTTCAAGCAGATTTAAGGTAAAACATGTAATGGCTATGCCATTGTGAAATAAACTCATTATTGTTGAGGCCCATAGGCCAAAGTGACCCCTATGGGGTTTTTGGGGGCTTCTTGGTATTTTTAGGTAGGTGTGTGTGTGTGTGTGTGTGTGTGTGTGTGTGTGTGTGTGTGAGAGAGAGAGAGAGAGAGAGAGAGAGATTTCAAGGGATGGAAGGTTTTTTTTTCTATTTTCTATTATTTAGACTCATACTTCTAAAGTTACTTAAGAAATTAGTTGTATATCTGTATTTTCAAGAAAAAGATATTTTCTTGAGCCTTTCTGTATTAGATTCCCTTAATATTACAAGTTCAAGGTCTGCCTGGGCTACATAGTCAGTTCAATACCAGCTTTCAGTTTATGAAAATCTTGTCTCTAAGATAAAAAAGGCTAAGGTTGTGACTCAGTGGTAGACTTTGCTTAATGTTTCCAAGACCTTATGTTCAACCCCCTGTAGAAGGAAAAAGAAAAAATAACAAGATTTAAGTTTTAGGTCAATATGTTGAAGCCTGAGTTTTGAACTTATCCCCTAGACTTGCTTGTCCTTCAGTCTCACCAGCCCTGGAAATTGTCATGCCGTGCTTCTAGCTGCTTAGGTAAAAACCTTGATGTCGCCCTTGATTCATCTCCTAAATCTGTCAATACATCAGCAAATCTAGAAGATCTTTCCTCAATATTTATTTGAAGTTAACCACCTCTTTTGAACTCTTGGTTGAGACAGGGTTTCACATCTCTCAAGTTGGCTTCAAACCTGCTATGTAGTCAAAGATGGCCTTGACCTTCAGATTCTCCTGCTTCTGCCTTAGAAGTGCTAGGATTACAAATGTGCACCACCACACCAAGTTTATGTAGTTTCTGGGGTATCAGTGATAGGGCTTTGCTTAGAGAAGTGCCTACCAATTGAGCTCCATGTCCAGATCAGACTAATTGTAGTAATTTTGTATTAGTTGGCACTGATAAACTCAGACACAACAGTTTTCCTCTAAGTTGAACTAAGGTACATCTACATCTGTGTTTAGCATATTTTCAAATGGTGTTTTATTTTTGGGTACTGTTTACTGATCACAGAACTCATTTTATAACTTAAAATGTGTTCAGCCATCTTTTCCCCCTTTCTCCCTAATTGCATTTGTATTTCACTTGGTTTTGAGGGAATGGGCCTTCCTACCCAAACTCCACCTTGTGCACTACATCTTTCCTCCATTGCCAGTGTCCTTATGTCCCTACTTAGTTCATGATTTCATTGTGTAAACAGAACAAATATCTTTTTGGGATTAAAAGGAAAGGGTGAAAACATCCCCCAAAGTAACAAACCCTACCCATACCATGCCCCTTCTTTTCACTCCTTAACTTTAAAGCACTGTGCCTCTGTCCTGTCACCTCTGTGTCCCTCCTTCCCTTGTCCATCTCTTGGTTTAGTTCCCATCCCTTGTCAAGTCCCAGGTCTTTTTGATCAGTGTTCCTCTACATGTCTTCCCTGTCCACAATCTGTTATCAGTTGACTAAGTGTGTCTGTGATGGACAGGGTCCTCTTGCTTCCTCACCCAGATCTCTAGGGCTGTGTGTAGTCTCACCAGTACCAGTGTTAACTTCGTTCTCTCCTGCTACCATAATGCTCATGTAATCTGCCTTCTCTTACACTCTACTTTCCTAATGGCATTGCTGCTGACACCAGAGATAATTTAATGGAAACCTCAGAGTCATCTTTGATTGCCTTCTTCAATAGTCCTTTTGAGTCTGCCTACTAAAGTCCTTTGCATCTGTCTCTTCTGTTACTAGAAAAGTTTTCATTCTTTTTCTCCAATGGATATCTTTTCCATATGCTCAAGATTTTTTTTTTAAATAGCCCTTTCCTCTTATACTTTGTAGTTGGAGCATGTTACTTTCCCCCTCAGGTCTCCATAAATGTAACCCACTCTGTCTCTGCTCCTAACATTTTTACCTTTAACAGATTCTCTGCAGGGTTTGGTCCTGCTGCCTCAGCTGAGGTGTAGCATATCGGCAACTCCAGCACTTGACATAGACTCTGGCATAACTGGTGCAAAATAGATGGTAGCTATTTGTTAGAGAGAGGAAGATGATTATAAAATCATATTTGGGCGGGCATTGGTGGCGCACGCCTTTAATCCCAGCACTTGGGAGGCAGAGGCAGGTGGATCTCTGTGAGTTCGAGGCCAGCCTGGTCTCCAGAGTGAGTGCCAGGATAGGCTCCAAAGCTACATAGTTTTTAATGGGAAAGGTGCTTAACCTCAAAGGGAAAGTAGTGATGCCAAGATGGCCTGTCTTGTGAGACACACTTCTCTTCTGGCCAGCTGTCTCCCTCTTAAAAAAATATGCAAAGATTGGCCCATAGATTCATGGTACAGCACAGCCCTATATTTGATATCTAGAATTGTAACAACAACAACAAAATTAATTACAAAAGTCTAAATACCACCCTGAGGCCCTTTGAGACCCAAAGCAGCTCTCTTGGAAATCGTAGCACCAATAGTGCTCAGTAGAGATTCTGCCTCTGTTTGTGGCAGGTTAGATCTCAAGTACCCCTGAGGTACCTACACCTTGGTAGGTTATCCTGCACAGACATGTCAGTAGCCAGTATTAATGTAATAAATCATGACATTTTGTTACCGTATATTATACAGTGTACCATGTTCTGTAGAAAACCAGAGGTGAGAGATTCTATTCTTGTTCTCAAAGATATTTGTTGTCTCATGAGGAGTCACACATACAGTCAGCCACATGAATATGGACACGCTTTAAGGTATAGTTTGGAGAACTTTTACTTATATAAAAACCATGTAACCACCATGTTTAGGACCCCAGGCTCCCATCAGTCCCTCCAAATTACTACTCTGGCTCTTGTCATCAGAGCCTGCTGAGTTACTGTCCTAACAGCCTTTACTTGGCTAATTGATTCCCTATTAAAAAGTCTGGTGTACAGAGTAGCTGGGTTGTCATTTCGTCTTAATATGCTTTGGCATGTTTTGACAGACTCAGAAAAACTATTTCCCATGGTCAGACTTGGATTTGGTGATACAGGCTGTCTACTTGCATCCTTTTTATGTTTTAATCATAAATTGATATATTGATAAATTATCATAAGCTGTCAGACAGCATGGAAAAATATAAAGAAGAGAGACTGTTTTTAGTCAGTTAGACTAGATGGCTGTGGTGTTACTGGCTTGTAATCACAGATACTCAGGCAGAAAGACCACAAATTCAAGGCCTGCCCAGTCTGCCGAGTGAGTTCAAGGGAACAACCTGTGAGCACCCATCTAAAAAAAAAAAAGGTGCTAGAATGTAGTTCAATGGTAGAACAGCTAGCATGTACAGTCCTAGATTCAGTGTCCACTCCCAGAAAAACAAAAACCTGGCTCTTGCCTTTCCCGGGCTGTGTTTTGTACTAACTAATGTCTGGGAAGAAACACTGTAAATTACGAAGTGTGAACCAAAGACAGCAAACCAACAGCTGTGTTTCTCACATGGCCCCAATTAGCCTACTGTCCAGACATTCCTAGTCATTCAATATCCAGCAGACAAAACTCATCAGGGAGTACTTAGGGAGAACTATGATCTGGGTTTCTCTTTAGACTAATGTCTACATTGCCAGACGTGGAGATGCTTCTTTGGGCCTTACTCTCTCAGAGTACTCTTCTTATTGAGGGAAATATCAGTTACTGGCTTTACTTTTGAAAGTTGTGACTCTTGATTTCTACGTAAAAGTTGAGCTTTTAAATGGGAGTGCTTTGACTTAGGAAGCTGCCTCTGCAAGGTGTCAGTTTTGTTTTCAGAGGCTGGATGTGCAAAGAGGCTAGAATGCTTTTGTATCCTATGTGTGGAAAAACCCAGCAGTGTGCTGAGGGACGAGATGAAAGCATCTCTCAGGTTTATCCAGGTCCATCCCTTTAAAACATAAGAGTCACATGAATATTTGAACTGAACATCAAGGCAGAATTTACAGCATAAGGTCAACAATGGATAAGGTCAAATCTCAAAAGTAATATCTAATTGCAAAAATACCAAAAACCTACTCATGTCCTCACCATCTTTTTGTCATGTTTTGTTTTTTATTTTTATTTTATTTTTGGTTTTTCAAAACAGGGTTTCTCTGTGTAATAGCTCTGGCCATCCTGGAATTCACTCTGTAGACCAGGCTGGCCTCAAACTCACAGAGATTCACCTATTGATAGTACAGTGGTTAGTACTCTGCATTGTGTTCCACCATCTTTTTTTAATAGACAAGATGTAACTTTTTAATAAATAACCATGCTCTTCTAAGCATGGCCCTAGGGCATTTGCCTCCTGTCACCAGTTATTTAATGGGGTAATGACTCTTAGTGTATGCAGGCTTGTCTTTTGGTTTGCTTTTTTTGTTTTGTTTTTGTTTTTTGAGACAGGAGACAGTACCCTGACTGGCCTGGAACTCACAGAAGTCTACCAGCTTCTACCTCCCAAATATCTCTAGAGTTGTTTAAGATTTTGGACCTTCAAAGAATCACTGACAAAATTCATTGAATACTTTGAGTTCATAATAATGTAACAGTTTTTAGAGCTATTAGCAAATATGTAAATTTTTGGTAAAATACCAAATTCATTTTGTGTCATTTTCTTAAGCTTTTAAGCCAAAATACGACTTCCCATGAGATGGAGTAAGATAAGGTTGGAGTACTTCAGGATAACTGTGTGACATTCAGTCATCACTAGACTTCTTTGCTCTAGTGAACCAGCCATGCTGATTCATGCCTGTAGCTTCAACACCTGGGGGCTGTGGCAGGAAGTATGCTTGAGGGTAGGACTCCAAGATCAGCCTAGGCAAACTGGAGACCTCAATCAACAGTCACCAATCAAAGCACTATAAAATGCTATTGGCCATGGTTAATAGATCCCAACAAAATAGTGAAACGTGTTGTTGTTGTCGTTTTGACCTTGAATTTAGTATCTACCTGCCTCTTCCTTCCAAGTACTGGGATTATAGGCATATGTCACCACATTGCACCTGTTTTAAAATAGATTTGAGGGGAAGGGAGGGGGCTATCATACTGAAATTGAACCCAGGGTTTCATACAGTCTGGGCAAATGCTCTATCACTGAGATGTCTGCATTTGAAACTTGATGATAAATGAATTTTAAGGCACTGATGAAATTATTTTTTAAAGTTCTCAGATACTGTTTCCTAAGAAGTTAAGCTTTGTATCAAGATGAAATATTTTTTAAAATGTCAAGATGCCTTTTATTGTACAAAATATTGTGTTATTTTTGTAATATCTTTGTATACTGTGATTTTTTTCTTGGTGATGTAATAAATTGTTTTCTAAAATCTTGCTATTTGCCTACAAAGTATCAATGAACTCCCTTTACTGGTAATATTTTTGTTATATGGAGTAGTTTGGGGTATTGTTTAGAAACATTAGGCATTTCATAAAATGTTCTCAGCACAACATGCTTATATCTGTAACTACCCTTTGAAATGGTAGTCTCAAGAAACAATGCCTTTTTTCAAAGTTTTTTTTTTTTTTTGAGACAGGGTCTCACTATGTAGCTCAGCCTGTCCTGGAACTCACTGTGTAGACCAGGCTGGCCTCAAACTCACAGATACCAGCCTGTTTCTGTTTCCTGAGTGCTAGGATTAAAGGCATTCCCTTTGGGGACTTCCGGCTCTTCCCTCAAGGGACTTCTATCCCCACAAGGTAGAAGTCTCAGGGTGGCAACCTGCTCAGACCAATACTTAGAAATTAAAAGTAACGTTAGTAACAGATTACTACCTCATTGAATAAAATGGAAATCTGAGTGGGATGTGTCAGTGACAAAATGCTGCTTTGTCTTGGCTCAATTCCCAATACCCCCAAAAATAAAACCAAGGCTACAACAATACAACAAATGAATAGAGAAGGAAAGACCCTGCCTTTTAGGGGGTGCCAATCAGTACATGTAAAAGGAATGACAGAATTTGGCAATTAGTACTCACCAGTCAGTAATAACTGAGTCAGTGGATGCTGTCTGATGAGTGAAGATTTGCTCTATCTACAAGGCACTGACTGCAGAGTGAAAGGAGGGACTCAGAGACTGAAGTAGTTGGATAGACAACACCTTACCCAATTACCAACACCCAGCCCTTAGTAACTGGAAAACTTGGTAAGACACTTGGTAAGACACAAGAAAACATTTCTTCTCTGGCATTCTCACATGCCTAAATCTAATAAGGAAGAACCAGGCAAACTGGAACTGAGGAGGTGGTCTACTAAATAACTCATCTGAAATCGTAAAACTGCTTCATGAATGTCAACATAACTACTGATTACCAAGTGTGATGACTCGATCATGAAGCCTGTGACAAATGGCAACCTGAGTGAAGTCTTTGGGTTAAATAATGGTACTCTATCAGTGCTAACTTCCTGGTATGGTGGGCGTCCTGTGATTTACAAGATGTCTTCCTGGAATTGCACACTGATGTATTTGAGATGGTGAGGTGTTGCTGACTCAGCAACTCAGTGGGAAAGTTTCTTTGTACTTTTCTTAGTACTTTTAAGTTTGGAATTATTTTGAAATGAAACAAATTAAAAGATATGAAAGTAACCCTTTTTTCATAATAAAAAATAAAGGTACTATGCTAGCTAGTTTTTATGTCAACTTGGCATGGCTATCTGGGAAGAGGGAGACTCAACTGAGAAAATGTTTCCATAGGATCGGCCTGTGGGCAAGTCTGTGACGAAATCTTGATTAATGATAGATGTGGGAGGACCTAGCCCACAGTGGGCAGTGCTGTCCCTGAGCTCATGGTCCTGGGTGCTATATCAAAGCAGACTGAGCAAGCCGGTAAGTGGCATTCCTCCTTGGCTTCTGTTCCAGTTCCTGCCTCCTGCCTTGAGTTCCTGCCCTGACTTCCCTCAATGATGGAAGTGTAAGGGAAATGAATCCTTTTTCTCCCTAAGTTGCAAGATAAGCAGGTACCATTTAAAAACCAAATCAGGAAAGCTTCAGCTGGACTGGGGGTTGTGGCCTTTGAGGCAGATGAAGGAGGATGGTAAATCCAAGTCCAGTCTAAGCTAAACATGAGACCCTGTCTCCTACCTCACACAGCTACCACATTCTCAGGTGTGGACTAGACACCAAAACTCAGGAGCACAAATAATAGTTGATATGGCTGATGAGGCACACTGACACACACCTTCTTGACAAGAGGGCATGAATGCAGTAATCATGAACTCATGGCATCTGTAGTTGCCTGCATGCGTCAGGGAGGGGTCTCGGGGACCTCTCCCAGAGGAACTAGCTGCTGATGGATGCTTGAAGGTAATGAAAAACTGTGTGACCAAGGGAAACAAACCTACAAGTCTTCCTAACCCTGTATCCCCAAGTCCTATGGCCACTTGGAATAAGCATCTACAGCCAGTTTACCCTTCAACAGGAAATAATTCTTGGCTGGAAATTACTGAAGCCATGTTTTGGATCCATTAGATTCAAAACTGAGCTAAAAGAAACAAAGGACTTTCCCTACATTATTTAAACTTCCTTTGTAGCAAAATTTCATCAGAAAGCTGAAAATTATTCACCAGAAGTCTTTAGCTTTTAACTTTTTATCGGTTGCTATCCTCTTTACACTTTTCAGACAATGAAAGAAAATCCTTTCCTGTTATCCACTTATGATGAAACATGGTTTCAAAGCAGTAGGCTTCCCTTTCATCTCAAGCAAAAACATTTTCCCAATACAATATTTAAAATACATCTTTTAAATGTAAGTCTTTATTCTTTGGAAATTCACATTGTGCACCCTAATTTCACTCACCTCCTAGTCATTCCATATATGCCCCCACTCCCCAAATTAATTTAAAAAAAGAAACAAACACCTTGTTCCTCCATCTCTCCTGCCTCTCCAACACCTCTTCATTTGTCCTGGTGGCACTGGGAGCTGCAGTGTGTCATGAAGTATATACCCTTTTGTCCCATCAGCCCAACCTACAAATGTTCATTGTGATGGGCCACTGGTCTGGTTCAAAGCCTCTGGCCCCTGGCCTCTGGCACACCATCATCACTGGACCCTCACTGAAACTCCTCTCAGATATCCTCCAGTGCCCCCAGTCATGGAGATCCTGCAGGTATTGTTCCACAGAACAGTCCCTTTAGGAGCTCCAGCAGGCCTAGATGGGGTGGATGTTAGGGTGGGCCAACCTAAGACCCCAGATGTGGGCCTGGATGGTGGTTGAGCTGTCAGTTTGGGCCTCTGGGACCAAATCCCTCAGGCAAGGAATGGAGTAGACTTTCCTATACTCATGCCATTGAGGCCAGCTCTCCCCTGCCTGTAACAAGGGGTGGCACCATCTCTCCAGAGTGTGTGGTGGTAGTGGGAGCTCTCTCATGATGGGTGGGACCAGCTCTCCTGGTGCAATGTACAACAAGGGGCAGGGCCACCTATTCCAGAGTCAGTGAAGGGCAGAGTCAGCTCTGCTTGGCCCTTGGATTTCAACATGGTTCCCACAGCACTCTAAGGTGACACAGGCCTCAGACATCATCACAGACCCCAGCTGCAGCAGGACCACTGACCCAGACATGGTCCTTGGCAGCAGCTCAGGCCTGGACATCACCACTGTCCCAGGTGGCAGCATAGGCCACCCAGATCTGTATAGCCCCAGCTGTAGCATGACCTTCATTCAAACTAAAGTACATCTTAAGGATTTGTGAATTGTGTGCAGAGAAACATACATAACTGGATACTGTGCAAATCAATGTATCAAAAAAGAAAGAGTCGGGTGGAGTCAAGAAGTGCCAGATGATAAAAACTACACTTAAGTCTAAATTTTATTGAGCTTCTCTTCTGAGAATTTTAATGATTAATTCATCTTTTTTTGGTTCAATGTGTTTAAGATTTCTCTTCTTCCTGACATTCATTACAAATAACAACTGTATGAGATCACATAAGACATGCATTAGCCATTTCTTGGGGAGCCGCTAGCTATCCAAACTCCAGAAGACAGTCTCCTGGCATTGTGCATCCCACTGTCACCCACAGAACAGCAGGTGCTCATGACAAGAGTTTATAGAAAAGACCCTGGAAACACAACTCCAGTCCCAGACCTGGTTAACAGGAGTAACTGATGGCTTAGGTGTCATTTAACTCTGACTCCTTGTTTATGAAATTAGATATAATGTTAGATACACCTTCTTAAGATGTTTGAAGTTAGAAAGTAGTTAAAACACTGAAAATATGTTTGTATTTGTTTAGCAATCTCAAACTTCTGAATTTGTAACCCAGGGACAGAAGTTACTGAAGGCACTTACTTCACTTTACTTAAAGGATGTAGGAAAGTGTCCAGGCCAGTGGTTCTCAACCTCCCTAACACGATGACCCTTTAATACAATTTCTCATGTTGTGGCGACCCCCCAACCATAAAATTATTGCATTGCTACTTCACAACTGTAATTTTCTACTGTTATGAATTATAATGTAAATACCTGATATGCAGGATATCTGATATGTGACCCCTATGGGGGTTGTGACTCACAGGTTGAGAACTCTGGCTCTAGAGATACACCTCCAGCATTGTCACTGTCTTCGACAGGAGGCAAATACTGACAATTTTTGATTGCCACAATAGTAACTTGAGGTCCTTAGGACTTATGAAAAAAATCACACCTTAAAGTACTTCCATTAATAACAACTTGATGGTAACTGGGAAAAATACTAATATCAGATGTGCATGACATATTAGAATACCATAAGACACTACTACAAGAGTCTAGTTGTAGCGTTTATTCAGATGATCTGGAAACTTGAGCACATTCTTTTAAAGGTATTGTGTCTCCTTAGGAAACCTCGGTGGAAGAAGTCTCAGCTCCTCTTAACACCATCTCCCCCTGCACACTTCTCTAAGTGACAGAATCAAAATGGAAAATGGTTGGATTATTCCTATTTTGGTTTTGTGGTCACGAGACATGGAATGAAAAAAGACAGAACACAAAATATGCATACAGACAGACCCTGAGATCTATGTACGCACAGACCCTGAGATGTACTAGATGTTACAGTGAGCTTTGGGACAGATCAACACGATCCAGGTCGTTCTGAAGACACTGTTGTGGTGAGTAAGTCATCTTCCAGGATATGCTGCCTGTACGAGCATCGTGTTAGGAAAACCCTTAGTGTTCAAATGTGAGAGCTAGTCATCCAAAGCAGGTGGCCAGTCAACATCCACAGACTAAAAGGAAGAAAACAAGTCATTAAAACAGAAATTCTGGCAAACATTTCTGGGGACAGTTTTACTGTAATGCAAGAGAAATTACATTTGATAGAGCAGCAACACTGAAGGCCCATTTCTGAACTAATGGAGACACAATTACTATTATATCTCTTGACTCCTAAAAGAAGAAATTGAAAAATCATAATGTCAGTTATGAGTAAAGTAGAAACAAATTCAAATTTGGGTAGCCACATTATTTTTCCTCTGATCAGTTTTTCATTGTATCATCTTATATTTAACAAAATATAGTTATGTATCACTTAACGGTGGGAACACATTCTGAGAAATGTGTCATTAGGTGACTCCATCCTTGGGCAAACACCATAGCGTACTTACTTAAACTAAGGTATGATGTCACTAGGTGATATCAACTAGTGAGGCCAGTGTTAAATGGCACATGGCTCAAGCAGTCTGTAACTAAATGTAAAGCAAATGAATACAGAAAATCACTAGAACTAGAAAGCCCCAAGTATCTTCTCTCATTTCAGAATTTTTGTTTCTTTTAAATTCCAGTTCAAGCCAGCTGTCATGAAACATGGCTATAATCTTAGCACTTCAGAGGCAGAGGGAGGATCAAGAGTTCAGAGACTACATGAGACCCTGGCCCAAAACATCAAAAACAACTAGATAAATCTAGTTAGTCTCTATTGCTACTACTTACTCTCACTTTGTTCTTCCAGATTCAAATCACAGTAAGCAACCTATTCTATATAATCTATACAATCACATCACTTTCTCCTTCCTTTCCTCCCTTCAAACCCTCCCCTATACCCTTCCTTGCTCTTTCAAATTTATGGCCTCTATTGTCATTAATCATTGCTAAATACACACATAAATGTACACACACACACACACACACACACACACACACACACACACACACGCACACACACAACACACACAACACACACACACACACTTCTGAATAGAACTGCTCAGTCTGTGTAATGTTATTTGTATATATGTCTCCAGGGCTGACCATTTGGTACTGGGTAACCATTTTTTTTAAAAAAAGGTGCTTTGGCACCTTCCATGACACTAAGTTGTCTCCTTATGACAGCCTCATTAGACTCCTGCAATCTGGACAGTGGATCCTGGCTGCCACAAGAGCCATGTCCTGGAAATGCCTATGTAGACCAGGGTGGCCTTGAGCTCAGAGATTCACTAGCCTCTGTTTCTCAAGTGCTGGAATTAAAGGTGTACGTCCTCATGCCCAGCTCTAAAATTCTTTATAAAACACAACCCTAGCATTCAGAAGGATGCATGAGGAAGTGAAACTTTATTTTCTTGTTTTCTTTAATGGATTAATCTGCTGCTATAGGTAAATCCATAAACAACAATACCTGGTACCAATTAGTAAATCATATAATTCTCAGGCATCACAAATGGATCCTGCTTGGTTGTTTGTTTAAAATAACTACAAAGAGAATTCTTCCCTGGACTACAAAGCTACTGTGAGGTTTTACTATTGTCAAATACCTATAGCAGGCTGAAGAGAATGCTCAATGGTTAAGAGCACCAACTGCTCTTCCAGAGGACCTGGGCTCCATTCCCAGCCCCCTCTTCTCAACTCCAGGAGTGCCAGACACACATGTGATGCACAGACATACATGCAGACAAAATATCCATACACACAAAAGAAAATAAATCTTAAAACCCCCAAACAAAAAAAAAATTTAAAACAAAACAAAACAAAAAAACCCTTGTATTAAAAAGATTCCCATGGAGACAGGTAGTGGTATTTGGTTTAGTGTCAAAAGGCCTAATTTGGCTGAATCTTATTTGCAGATGTGCACTCCCCCATGAAACACTTTACCTCCACATCTAGCTCAAGAATGTCTGCAGTCACGTTCATCAGAGAGCCGATGTTTGGCTTGGTTCTCCCAAAGTCTCCGTGTACAAATTCTTTAATGTAGCTAGGTCTGTTAAGGAAAAGACCATGCAGTACCAACTACTTTGGCAAGTGGAAGGGAAAAGTAAACAGAATAAAAAATATTACAAAACAGATGTCATTTTTAAACTCAGACTCGAGATGTGTATCTCAGAAAATTAGATGGATCCCACCAGCCTGGATGCCAGCACCCTGAGTACCAGCATAGTGTTCAGAACCTCTGTTTACATCAAACTCACCAGAGGCTATGGCTTTGCCTTGCTTCAGACAGGGTATCATATAGCACGGGCTACATGAACTTGACCTGCACCCTCCTGCTTCCACCTTCCAAGCGTGGAGATGAGGAACCTTTGGCACTCCCCAGCCCAGCTTTAGGTTTTTTATTAGCTTGTCTCAAAATGCCAAGGCTTGATATACATTAAATCAAATATAGTTCAATGTCCCCTCCCCCTTTTTTGAGACAGCATCTCACTGTGTAGACCTAGTCTACGACTCACTCTGGAGACCAGGCTGACCTCAGACTCAGAGATCCACCTGCCTCTGCCTCCTGAGTACAGGGGTTAAAGACGTGCCCCACCATGCCCAAGCCAAGGCTTTTGTTTCTTAACCTTTTTTGCCCCCCTCCATTTCTATTTTGATATCTGGTCCCATTTTTCAATAATGGCAATTGGCATCTACCAAATGGCCAGTTTCTACAGGGCCACACAGACGGTGACCTCAATGACGGGGCACCTGGTAACACCCTGGCATCAAGATGGAAAGGAGACTTATGTTACTAATTTAGTCTTCTTTAAAAATCAACTTATACTTATTATTTACACAGGCATGTATGTGTTGTGACTGTACACCATGCATGCGTGATGGTAGAGGTCAGAAAAGGGAGTGGGATCCCTACACCGAGGCTGCAGCTACAGGCAGTTGTGAGAAAAAGAATTAAGGTGGTTTTTTTGTTGTTTGATTTTGTTTGCTTTTAGTTCTCTTTCTGCGTGTATGCTTCTGAATGTTTTGCTATGTACCCCAACATGGCCTTGGAACTACCATGGAAACCAAGCTGCCCTGAGCAGAAGCAATCTTGGGCCTCCACACCTGCAAAATTCTTTTTGGGTTTGGTTTTAGCAACTTTATATTTGGAAGGCAATAGTTAGTGCTGGAGTATGTTCTTAATAAGATTAGCATTCCACAGCACTCTCCTGTAGTCCTGGCATTACACCTTTTCCATTGTTCACTAAGAAACAATAACAAAAACACTGCATTAGTAAAACCAGAATTCAGTGTAGGTGGTTAACGGCATTTGTACAGGGAAACAAATGCATCTTCAAGCACTGGCTAAGAAACAATGTTACAAGTTTCTTCCCCTCCTCACCCACTACGTGTTTTGACTTTAACAGAAGACATACAATTATCCAGTAGCTTCCCCGCCCCTGATTTCATAATTTCTCTTCAACTGCCATTCTTTTTCTCTGATTTTCATTAGAGAAAGCCAGTAATAAAGAAGGAAGCAGACCAAGGTGCCCCAGAAGCAATGCAAAGGTCTGGACTATTTTCATGCTGGAGGGATGAAACTGGAGGCTAAGAGCCTGGCCCTAGGTACCGAGCCACACAAGACTGAGACAGCACAAGATGAACTGAGCACATAAAGGACAGATATTTCTATCAGAACCATGTGGTATCTACAGTTTCACCAGTTCTTCTTGGCTAACATATTAAGTACATATATGTAGCTGTTTCCAAAAATGTCTTAACAGGATTCAAAAGGTGTTAGTTTTTCCAAAAGACAAAGAACTCATTCTTCTTGGCATGAAAAATTAAAGACAGAATTAGTTTTATTTTGTTTTATAATCTAAGGCAGGGCGAGAAGCTCAATGATGTGACATGTACATAACATGTTTGAGCCCTGGGTTCAGTCCCCAACACCAAAGTCGAAATAAACTTTAACACTTGTGATTTCTTTGAATTCCATCTATAACAGTCAAATGTGCCCAAACAATAAAGATGAAACAAGCTGCCCACCAGAGTCTACATAAATCATCCCTGATTCAAACTGCAAAACCGAAAAGCTATTTGTAGTAATAGCCTACATCCCAGTTCAGTGAGGTCAATCCAGGCCATTCCAAGGTGGCACAAAGGAGGGGAAAGATGTTTAAGAGGAGAGGCCACTAGTTATAGCAATATGGTGACCAGGCCTCGACACCTCCCACTATGAAGAGGTTTGTGTTGCTGTATACAGAACTATGTCTTACCTGCATACCAATTAGAGGAGATTTATCATTTCTTCCATTGGCGCGCGCGCGCGCGCGCGCGCACACACACACACACACACACACACACACACACACACACACACACACACA